CTAATGGGCCCCAAACGGTCGGTAACCGGCATGTTTATGCCATAGGGAGTATCCCGGTAGCGCGGGAAGCAGCGTTCGCCAATATTAATTAAAGGCCTCTAATGCTGCAGGAAAATTTTAGTAGAAGATTTAGAACTATGTATGTATTTAGTTTTAGCGTTTGTTCCCGCTTTGAGGGCGTGAAATGCCGTGTCATTGTCCCTAATAAGTCATTGTCCCGGCATTTCAATTGTCGCCCATAAGCATGAACCAAGCCACCAACTCACAAGCTTACATGCAACAACTAAACTAACACAAGGTCATCCATATGGCACCTTTCCTTGGACAAGGCATCCTCCAATTGGCACGCGGTAAATTGACTTAGATTGTTTGCCCTGGCAAACTTATGTACTCCAATCTCATCCACTGGACGATGCTGGCTGTATTTCTTGCGTGGACGATCTTGTCGCCGACGGGCGATGTTGTCCAGGGCATTCCGGTCAAACTCGTAGGCGCCGACCTCATTACCGCTGTCCATGGACATTGTGTTGGAAGGATACGTTAAGGTTCAGATAAAATGAAGAAATGAAGAAGCGCTCCTTCATAGTATGGAGATGGTAGAATCTTCAAGCAACTTTTGAACGACCAGGGAGAGTTGCTGATAGGCGAATTTGTATGAATCTATAGAATTCCTTTATTCTTTCAAGGTAAATGAATGCTTATGTATTCGTCCGTTAGTAGCGTGAAGCTTTGAACACTCTTTGTACGGCAGATTCGGCACAATGTTTTGCCTCATTGCGATGTTGCCTGAAAATTTTGAACAGAAGGGATCACTGCTCATGCTGGTGCAGCAAGACATGTAAGGAGATGGCCTGGTCACAATCCAGCAGTCATATATCGACAACCTCAAGCTATGACAACTTGTTACATGTGTCTGTAATAAAAAAGTGACTTTGCAATGGTGTGGGGAGCTCTTTGAGTGGTGGGACTGTGGAAATCCAGTTTGTTTCGCCCGTAACGTTACTTGTTAACTTGTTAACAAGTTTGTTACGGGCGAAACAACGTCCCTCTGAAACGTTTGGATATGCCTATGCAACACATTTCCTCAATTTCATGAACTGCAAGTATTCTAATCCAACATCACCCCAATCTCAGTGTAAACTAGTCTCCAAATGTGCCTGCACAAGACTGTCACCCCTGTCACCCGGCATTCACATTGCCTTAACCTCCTCAAGCTTGTCGGGGTGTGACACGTGGGCATGAACCTTGTGACACTGGGCATTGTCACAAAGAAACTGGTTGCAATCAGAAATGCATTTTTCCTCATGCCAGGTTACCGACATCGGTTACCGATTACTGGGGACGGTTAACGGATAATGGTTCGCCCGGTAATCCTACCGACCGGTTACCCATCTCGTTAACTGGACCCGTTAGGTCGGAACCGGGCCGGAACCGGCCTGGAGTATGCCATTGGGTGTTGGAAATGACCGACACTCATATACCAGTGAATGGTAGCCACAGTAATAGGACCCAACGGGGGTCCGGCGCTTTGCTGGTCTTAACAGGTTATGAGCCCCGAATGGCGCATTGCGCTGCCGAGAGGTCGCCGGATCGATACCCACTGGCTGTTGCCCAGAGAATGGGAGACCGGGATGAGGCACGGGAAGGCCCGGAGCGAGAGAGTGTCGCTCACAGGGGGGTGTTGGAAATGACCGACACTCATATACCAGTGAATGGTAGCCACAGTAATAGGACCCAACGGGGGTCCGGCGCTTTGCTGGTCTTAACACGCGTGGTAGGGAATCTCCGGCAGGTAGGCCGAGATATAAGCTACCCGGGCGGGGTGCTCTGGCCAGACACTGACGTATCACATCTACTAGGTGTTCAGAGTTCAAGACTTCGTTTCTGTTTTGTATGCGTCTATGTACACTAGTGCTTGCCGCTGATTGTTTTGTACGCATCTATGTACGCTAGTGCTTGCCGCTGGGTTGGACTTATTCCTACTCCGGCGAGGACTGCCAACACCACGCTTTTGCTTATCCAGTCGACCCGCCAGGTGAGCGACTGCTACACCCTTTCAGAAGCTTTTGAAAGGGCGCCTGTTGATGACCTTGTCTCCTTACTGTGCCAATCAGGAGACATAGAGGTGAAGGACTTGCTTGGTGAAATGGGATTGACTCCCTTGAATGCTGCTTTGGTCGTGTCAAAGATGTAGTAGTGATGCTACGGTGTGCACATATGGCCTAGATGGATTAGATTGCTGTAACTACATATTTACCTTGAGGTTAAGGCAGCCACTCTGATCACCAGCTTGACTGACCATTAACCCAAGGGACCGGTAACCATACTGACTAGTAACCCAACTGACCACTAACCCAACTGACTGGTTAATGTGTCTTTAACAATCATTAGTGGTCAGTAGTGGTCAGTAACCAACATGTTTATGCCATAGGGCAGCGCACATCACTCTGAAGGCCCTAGACAAGACCACTATGCAGAATTGTCCAATACCCAGACATATCCCATCACTGGCATCCTCTTACCGTGCTTTGAGAACTTATGACTCGTAAAGCATATTTTCTATGATGTTGCAGGAGGTTGGGCTTTTGCAGAGTGGCTTGTTGGGCACAGTGAACTTGGAAACCAGCTGTACGAGCTGGTGCATGTCAGTGTCACCGCCGTGGTACTTGTCAACCCATGCCTTGATCATATCGAGTGTTGTCTCCTCTTGCTGCTGCTGGGAGCTGTGGGCACGTGGGTACCGCAGGGAGCACAGCTCACCTGACTTGCCCACCAGGTCTGAAATCGTCCAGCCCTGCCGTGACAGGTAGGACTGCAACTGATGCCAGCGCTGCATCTGGCCCTGTGTCAGCTCATTGTTCACAGCCTTGTTGAGTAGGGTGCCGATGCTGCAGCTGCGGGGCCATTTGTCACCGCGGAATACGAATTCAGTTGCCACCTCATCCAGGATGTAGGCAACCTGCCCCAGGAGCACTTGCTCGTCACGGCTTTTCTTCTCTGCTATGAGACTCGCCACCATTTCCTCCAGATTTTTGACTGCCTGATTGAGTGACGAGACCGTCGTCAGATTCATCTCGGCAAGGTCCTCTAGAGCTCTCCTGATGACCGGTGTGCTGATTTGAACATCAATTGCAAGCTTGTACGCCTTGTCCACGAAAGCGGAAACTTCGTCCACGTCCATTGCCCTGACAAGCTTCTTTAGCTTCACCTCGGCATCTGCAACATCATCGGCTCCCGATGAAAGACTATCTAGCAACACAAAGGCGGCGTCCACTCGCGACATGGTCCCAACCGCCGTTTCGGGGGCGCACCATGGCTGCTTTTCAGCCTAAATGTACTGACTAGTTTATACTACGAGGTCTTGAAAATTATCACGGCAAACGCGCAAAAGCCGTCCAATGGGTGACTTCGTTAAGAGGATTTAACGAGGGCCAGGTACAGGTCTAAACGAAAGTGTAACAATAACTTATTGCGTATGTGTTGAAAAGAAGAGAAATATCTTGTGTGTATGTATGGATGGATGTTACAAGCTTCAGCGAGCTCGTACGGCCCAAACGAACCCGGAGGCTCATGAACCGCTTTGACAGCGCCGTCGATAGGAAAAAATGAAAAAAAAGTAAACAAGAACACTTTTACGCGAGAAGAAATCAAATGGTTATGAGAAAGAAAAGCGTCAACTTGACTCTGAAACACAATTGCCTGTTATCGCTGAGGAAGTTAGGTAACTAGGTGTTCATGCCGGGAGTGAAACATCTCAAAAATTGCCTTCGCAAGACCACGCTGATCATCCACTTGCATGATATCACGGATATCCGCGTTGACGGGCACATCGAGGTCCCAGAGCTTCTGATGCGCAGACACAATCGCCGGGCATTCTACCAAGGAATGTTTCTCATCCTCAATAGCTCCATTGCTACGACACACAGCGCACACGCGATGCTCCTTAGTCCTGTTGCTCTCACTGTTAACCGCCAAGTCGGAGACACACAAACGAAAATGGATTAGGGCACGATGATGCGCCGGGGGAATATAACCCGCGTACTGCTTTGATAGCCCCATCCAGTGCCTATGACGGCACATCTTCACGCTGGGCTTCCTACCGTCCATAGTGAAACTCTAGGGTCCACAGCCAGGAGGGTAGGATCCGGGCTGGAATTAGGGAAGAGCTCTGTCGCAGAATTAGCCTGGATTTTATTCTGACAAAAGAATTGGTCTGTCGAGATCTTGAATTGTTCTGGTGGGCTCGCTGGAGGTATTCGAATTGCGCTGTGGAGCCTCGGAATTGGGCTGTGCTGGGCCTGAATTGGCCTGTCCGGGTGTCGAATTGGCCTGTCCAAGTCGTTTTTGGCCTAACAGGGTCGAATTAGCCTGACAGGGTATCGAATTGACCTGTTCTGGGTGTCAAATTGGCTCCGGCTGGCATCCAAAAGCACATGACTTTTAAGGAATTTACAGAAAACTTAGGTTTTTAGGGTTTTAGGGAGTACACACGGGGGGAAAGAATGGGCTATTGCAGCGAAGCAACGCCCCAGATAAGTGCTAAAAACGGTGCATTAGAACATGCATATTTGAAGCTTAGCCTAACGTTGTCCTTGGCCTCCGACTGCACCCACTACCCTCCAGAGCATGGCTAGGAGCTTTTCGAGTCGAGGAACGTCCGTCATACATCGCTACAAGGTGTGTATGGATAGGGAGGGTCGGGGAATTGGGGCTGGAAGGGTTGGGAGGGTCGTGGCACGGGAGTTGGCGGGGTATGGGGGTTAGGGAGGGTCGGGGAATAGGGGTTGGGAGGGTTGGGAGGGTCGGGGCACTGGGGTTGGCGGGGTATGGGGGATAGGGAGGGTCGGGGAATCGGGGCTGGGAGGGTTGGGAGGGTCGTGGCACGGGGGTTGGCGGGGTATGGGGGTTAGGGAGGGTCGGGGAATCACATTTCACAACTCACTTTTCATGTCCCCCCCTCCCTTTGCCCCCTAAGGCCTGCCACACCAGGGAGGACGTGGAGTGCTGGCACTTCTCCTCAAAGTTACCAAACAGCATATAAAGGGCTGCGGGTTCTCTGTCTAGATCTTTTGCATGGGGGATCTTGGAAAACCAGCAAACCTACATGGCTGGCGTAGCTACACAAACAAAAGCCTTTTTATCCCCCGGTTTCCGAGCTTAAGTTTTCCCAAAGCTCTCAGCCCAGTGCAGAGAGACTGTACGTCCTGTACTTGATCAAGTACTGCACACACAGTCTCTCTGCACTGGGCTGTGAGCTTTGGAAAATATAAAAGATACCCGTGGGAGCATTTTTTAGTCATGAAGCTTCAGACTTAAGTCAGACTCTTCATCTATCTTCATCTAGCTATCCATGCCTACATACCTAATCTATCCAGATAGACAGACAAACAGACAGATGGGTAGTTGTATACAAACAGACAGACAGCCCAATGGCATACTCCAGGCCGGTTCCGGCCCGGTTCCGACCTAACGGGTCCAGTTAACGAGATGGGTAACCGGTCGGTAGGATTACCGGGCGAACCGTTATCCGTTAACCGTCCCCAGTAATCGGTAACCGATGTCGGTAACCTGGCATGAGGAAAAATGCATTTCTGATTGCAACCAGTTTCTTTGTGACAATGCCCATTGTCACAAGGTTCATGCCCACGTGTCACACCCCGACAAGCTTAGGAGGTTAAGGCAATGTGAATGCCGGGTGACAGGGGTGACAGTCTTGTGCAGGCACATTTGGAGACTAGTTTACACTGAGATTGGGGTGATGTTGGATTAGAATACTTGCAGTTCATGAAATTGAGGAAATGTGTTGCATAGGCATATCCAAACGTTTCAGAGGGACGTTGTTTCGCCCGTAACAAACTTGTTACGGGCGAAACAAACTGGATTTCCACAGTCCCACCACTCAAAGAGCTCCCCACACCATCGCAAAGTCCCTTTTTTATTACAGACACATGTAACGAGTTGTCATAGCTTGAGATTGTCGATATATGACTGCTGGATTGTGACCAGGCCATCTCCTTACATGTCTTGCTGCACCAGCATGAGCAGTGATCCCTTCTGTTCAAAATTTTCAGGCAACATCGCAATGAGGCAA